TATTAGCTTGACAATCGCACTTGTTATGTAACCTTGTTCACCTACTCAATGCCTATTAGCTTCACAATAACATAACCTACAACTACAGTATTCTCTTCGTTACTAAATCAATACTGATAATTTCGCAAAAGTCGATAATAAAATCTCATAATTACTACATGTCGGGTATAAATATGAACCCTCTTGACGACTATGGAAAAAACTAAATTGAAATAAAAAGTTATATTTCGCTAAAAATCATTTTTGTATTTAATTCAAAGGTCGAGTATGTTTCTCAGGTTCACGTTTTAGAGTTTAAACTTTAAGTTGGAAAGCATCATCAAACAACGACACAACATTCAAATTTTCCATTGAATAAATTTATCAATGCTCAACGTTAAGCCTTATTATCTCAGCTACGTTCTACCCAATAACGTTTTAAAAGTGAACGTTTTTTTCATACAACTCAATCACCTTCTGAAAAACAACACAGTTATTTATTCTTTAGCTATATCAGATCAAATTTGGGTAAAATAATTCCTTACTAAATGTTTATTTAAAAACAAACAATTAAATTCACTATACTTAGCTAAACTTTTTGTCTAGCGTTTGAATAACTACGAATCGAACAAGTAAACAATTATTTATTGTGAATAGCTTCAAAAATTTATTTATCTTTAAGGAAATTTGGTCAATTTAGTATAATAAACATAATAAAATAATGACATTTTTGTACAAGTTATTATCATATCAAGTTTTTTAAAAAGTTTGTTTATTTGTTTGTAGTTAAGCACAAAGCTACACAATGGGCTATCTGGTATCTGCCCACCACGGGTATCGAAAACCGGATTCTAGTGTTGTAAGTCCGCAGACATCCCGCTGTGCCACTGGGGGGCATTTCAAAAGTTTTCCATACGCAAAGGGAAAACATAATCAGTGCAAAATGTTCACTTGAAACTTAATGTACAGCCTTTTAAAGTATATCTCGTGTTTATAGTAGTAGTGTCGATATAACTATCGAATAGTATCTTTGTCGTCTAACCTAGTCTGGAGACCCCCTGGTGACTCAGCGGAATGTTAGTGAGCTTATAACGCTAAATTCAGGTTTCGAAAACTGTGGTGAGCAGAACACAGAGAGCCCATTGTATAGCTTTCTACTTAACGAACAGATAAATCTGATTTAGCGAAACCATTCAATAGCAGAAACTCTTGGTAATCAGATTAACTTTGTTACAAATATATCAGAGCTATCGATGTCATAAACTCAATAAAAACTGTCCTACGATTTATTTTTTACATCATTTAGATACTTATGATATAACTAAGTTCAATGTATCTTTTTTATTCCATATATAATACACTTGTAACTATGTTTTGTAAGGATTGAATTATCTCGTTGCGAGTAACGCTGAAATATACTAGTGCGGATCATTCCATTAAGCATTTCTTTATAATGGTTATACTCAACAGATGAGTTTGAGAACATCTACCCTTATGAGACACTTCAGAAGAAATTAAAATTTAGCCTAAGAAAATTAACTCAGTCCAGATACTTTTAGTTCGTCAATATTTTCAATATATACTGTACTGGTGCTCGCAGTGAACCTGCGTTCGTACTTGAAATAAAAGTACATTTTTAATGCCAATCAAATAGTCACAACCTCTCACAATAGACCTACAATCGTCGCTAACACGTCCAAGTAATTCAAAGTGCACTTATGATAATTATTACGCTCTCCGGGACGCGTGAATTCAAAACTTCAAATGCTCCTTTGTCCTCGCAGCAAACATAAATTACTTTTACAATAGTGTAACACGGTTAATATAATACTAAAAACGCATAAAAAAGCTTTAACTTATAATTACATCGATCAATTGTTTTTGAACCATTAGACAAAATATTTGTTTGCGTGTATAAAATACGAACCTAACGTGATAAATAAATAAGGTATGCTAAAGAATAATTGACGTTAAATAACAAAACAGCGTATTTCATGTCTTACAAAATTCATAAGTACAGCAGTGTGCGCGAAGGATTGATTAACACAATTTGAGTATAATAGTTAAAATAATTTATATAACATTCACCACTAAGGTTTTTCCCACTGTATAGAAAAGTGTTATATGCCATTTTGAAGATTGGTGTCAATACAAGATTGGAATAATCACAATCCTAGATGTTCTTAAATTGTCTACAGAAACATTCAACCTTTACTTTAATTAAGCATGATATGTGGTATCACAGCAACGTTGGTGGTGGATCACATTAAAATAAATTCAAAATACAGTATCAAAACATGGAACTCACGCGGTAGTGAAGATGGTTACGTACGTTTATTTTCAGTTATGTTTCTTTTCAACCTGAATGGCACATGCACTAAATATAATCTCCTAGAATGTAGCCATAACTATCCTTAATTTAAAATTATTGATCATGACAATCAGCCAAAAAGCTACTATAAACCAATTAATGAGATTAATATTCGTTGCTTTAACGCCCCCACAAAGGAAAGTGTGACTCATGTTGAGCGACATATCGCGGTTCCAGCTTTGAGCCTTTTGACCCGCAGCCCTGTACGCTGACTACTAAACCATACTTGATTTACCTTAACGATAAAATTTGTCCAGTGAGTAGCATATAAAAACAAACTGTGCGTTTCTATGCAGGAGAGAGATTTTAATTTAAACTTCCAGTTTTATCCTCTTCCAACCACTTATATTTAATGTAATGCCTTTAAAAACAGTATTAAAAATCCGGAGCTGACTTCTTAATTTGATACATATATTTTCAGAAGAGAATTATAAGATGATTGATCTAAAAGAAATCCCAATGTTGGTCAAATCACTGTAACCTTGATGTGAGGTTATCGCTCTTGGTGAGCATTAGCTAATAACCTTTTCCTTATAGATCTCAGATTTTCGAAACTAAATAGATCATTAAAACATCTTTTAGCCTAAGTTAGAAGCAGCGTATGATCATTCGAATAGTTTTTCGATCAAGAAAAGTGCTTATTGGACAGTTGAGAACGAAAAATTAAAATTATAAAACTATCAATAAACACATAGACCAATTAAAGCGATTTGAAGATCTATATATAATATATATATATAAAATATCAGAAGAGAAATGCTAAAAAAATATACTAAAAAATATATATATATATAATTTTTTGTTAGATTTAATTTATCCAACAGACGTTACACATCCAGTCTTTGAAGTAAAGCCAATTATATATACATATATAAACTGGTAGAGAAAGCCTTGTAGAAATATCAAACAATAATTTCACGTATTTGAAAAAAAGAGTACGCAATCTACTTTTAGTCTCTTACAATTAAATTATGAAACAAGTTGATAAGAAAAACCTTCTCAGTTTTGAAACTTGCTGTGATAAACACATGTAAAGTTCAATGAGGCACACACTTAAACATTGTAGTTTTTGTGTTCTTTTAGCATTTTCTTTATTTATTATCTAGGCACTATGTTTACAGTCGAAAATAGATCTTTAACATTGAGCGAGTATAACCTCACTGGTGATTTAACGGATTCTATTGTTTGTTTGTTTTGAATTTCGCGCAAAGCTACACGAGGGCCATCTGCGCTAGCCGTCCTA